CAACGAAATAAAACGCACATAAATCAAAATGGATGGACGGACAGCCGTACCGACGGGCAACCGGATAGAGGTAAGCGAGAGATCGGCCATTCCAGCAAGTACCAGACAAGCAGACAGATGGGCAACCGACGGTCACTGTGGAATGAATATGTACGGTTCGCCCCTTGTAAGCGCATATTCGTATTCAAAAATATATGCAAACACACATATGTATTGTATGTACATACTTACATACATAAGTACGTATATCATTCCGATTGATGTCTTAGGGTGGAGGCATAGAGGCAGCGTTGGTGAGGAGTTGAGTAAACGATATCATGGGGACTGAGAATAAAAAAGGAATAACGGCAACAACACGCGAGATGTTTGTTAAAATAACAACAAAGACATAAGAGAAATGAGTTGTTGTGCTGCGGAGGGTGCGGAATTTTTCGATAGTTAGGTAAGCAAAGTAAACGCAGCTTAAGAACAATTGAGGATGATGGTGGTACAACGTACAACCAAAATTGAAACGCATTTATGCTTTTTGTTGATGATCTTATTTATATGTGTGTAAATGAGTGAGTAGAGCGAATTTAGAACAGAACGAGTGAAATGACGACGGGTTGACTGGCTGTCAAAAGAACAAACATGGGCGCACAGAGGCGATGGCAACGCGGAAAAACAAAAGCTTAAAAACAGACAACAACAGCAAATGCGAACATTATAGCATTATCAAGAGCATATTTGCTACCACAAAAAATCATATGGAAGGATATTATGAAGGAGAGTAAGCATTGGTTATATGTACACACATACTTGTATATGTATCTACATAGAAAATTATACAAATGATATTATATTTGATTCGTTAATGTTGATAAAATCAAAAAGTCACAGAAAAAAGTTGCAAAGTTTTCAAGTTCTGCGGAAAAGAAAAATAACGTTACCAGCAATATAAAAATTAAGAATAAGGTATCAAGCCCTGGATTCTATCGTTCTACATAACTATTTTTAAATAAAAACTCTTTGTATAGCATGTATTGATGCCTCGAAATTCATTAAAAAATTTTTGACTTAAAAATGTATATGAAACATTGTGAGTGTTCCACAAACATGAGTACACTCTGGTTTCTACTTATGTATGTACTTGTACACTTATGAGTATATATGTTGAAAAAAGGCAGGTGGTTTTTGTGCCATTTGTGGTGATTATATGTTTAGATAATGCCGTTTAAATGCGTCTGATTCTATAAAAATAGGCCTATTTGGACTACTTTGGGAATAAAATACATATAACATAACTGACTGATATGCGTCGATCTAAAATTGAAAATTTTGTGTTGGGTCAACAAGGAGGATATACAAAATAGCCCTCCTTCATGTACTTAAGGGATAAACAAGGATGGGGAATGTTTTAAATATATCAGTAAAATATTTCCGAAACTGAGCACAGAAAAAATTAAAGCTTTTATTTTTGACGGTCCTCAAATCAGGGAACTAATAAAGGACCAATATTTTACTGATTGTATGACAGATGCATGGATTGAATTTATTATATTTGGATTGTGCAAAATTTCTTAGGAAATAAAAAATCTCCAGATTACATTCAACATATTGAGCAGCTCACGTTGCAATTCCAAAGACTAACATGTAACATGAGAAGATACACTTCCTCTTCTACCATTTAGACTGCATCTCAGAAAATTTAGGTGACTTAAGCGAAGAACAAGGAGAACGCATTAATTAAGATATTCGCACTAAGGAAGAGCGATGCCATGGTCGTTGGAATGCCAAAATGATGACTGCTAAATGCTGGACCGCTCTAAACAAGACTGATGTTTCTACTTATGCAAGCAAAGCACATAAAAGAAAGTTTTTGTCATGTTAAGTAAGAGCAAAATATTTTTAAATTCTAATGTTTTAGTATTTTTGGCTAAAAATTTAAAATGTTCTTATTTCGAAAACTAGAGCTGCTGGAGAAAAACTGACTACAAATTTGGAATCAGTGTGGCAAAATCATACAAGATCGGTTAAAAAAACTTCATAAAACAAAATTACTGTTTCCCAGTGTAATCTGGTAAGCTAACCACAAAAAAACTATCAAGGTTTTACAACCTAATTGCAAGAAAACAATTGTGTTTGGAAGATTTATGGTTTCACGCAATTAGCGCTTTGATGCATGAGGGCCCAGTGAATATGATTGAATGAGCGCTTAATAGTTAGGTTCGTATAATGAATAGTAATGCAATTAAATATACAACTAAAATATGGAAAGAATACAAAAGCAGCAGCATAACAAAAAGGCTAGAAATAATGTATTTATTACCATGCTTACTTAATGAAGCCATTTAAAAAACCCTCGCCACGCATGCGGACGGACAACAAGATCAAACTAGAACCATTCAAAACCATGCCGCAAAAAAATCCTGGCAAGTTCATATGTATATGTACGTAAACCGGCAGTTTTCACAAAATAAAGGAACCAGGTGATGGCGCGGTTGGAGGAGTCACTGTAGGGTACGACTATGTAAAGAACTTACCGGTTCGCCAAACATTTATCCTAGATGAAAGCAAAGAAAGGGGCAATGGCTCAAAACTTGTGATAGCTGCTGCAGCAATGACAGTTGGTAAGGACCTTTCCACGCTCTTCACTTTCAATTGAAATTCAACTTTCATATTTATTCTTACATTTAACCGAAGTCAGAATAACTGCATCCACAACAAAGACAAATATGAACAGTAAAAACAAACAAACGATAACACGTCACACAAACAACAATAAATCTTAACAAAATTTTAGTGCGGTAAGGAGCAACAAAAACTGTTACGCCGGTGACAATTTACTCCTTATACCTCGCTGTTGTTCACAACCAAGAAAAACTTCTCTTTGACAACAAAATTTCTCTGCCAAATGCGTTGTTGTCGCATTAATTTTGTTAGGGGATATCTCCACTTGGCACATCTGTTATTGTGACCGTCTGCTTATACTGCAAGAATAATAAAAAATCAAGTTCAATTTCATTCATTCATTATTGCATCTTACCGCTGTACCCAACAACGAAGCACAGCAAAGTGGAGTATCTGCAGTTACTATCCTGGCGGCGTCTGACATCATAATGACAATTGGTCAGATTTAAGCGGCAGAAAATTAAATATTCATATTTAAAACACTGAAGCACTTCCACTATTGTTAGATATGTATGTATGCACATGTTTGTATGAAATAAATATTCATGATGTGCGCTCACAAAACGGATAAGAGAGTGCAAACAATACTAATAGATGAGAATTACAGACGTTTCAAAAACATATACATATATGTATGTATGTGTAAATATGTATACCCTACAAGAAATTGCTGATGGGTTCACCAATATACTCACATTTGTTATGTCAGTACTGACGGTCAATTTACCCGGCAATTGACCGTCTCTGTTATTTTAAAAAGAGCCCCTTACGATTTATATTGCTACTATACATATATTATTATATAAACACATGCTTTACATATGTAAGAATAAATTAGTTGTATTCTTTAGTACTGCCACCACTGACAGTCAAATGAACAGTAAAATGACTGCTAATGTTTACGATTTTTCCAAAAGCAAATTCTGTATACGTCGACAAGAGACAGCATACATTTCCATAGAAATTTCGAGAAGTTGTGAAATAGCTATGTAGTATAATATACGTAAGTTATTATTAAGTTTGAAATAAAATAATATTTTTAGTTAATTTTTATTTTTATTTCGGCATTTTTAAATTCAGAAATATCCATGAACTGGAGAAACACGTAGCAGAGCTTTTGAGAGGAGCAAGCATGACTCTTAAGAAAATGATAAAAACTTTGTTCTGCGCGATGACAAATTTTTTTCTGCTGGGACTGTCATATTACCGGTCAGATGACTGTCACTGTTGCTGTAGGGTATTGATATGGGTTCATATGAATGAATTAACGACATTAAACTGAGAAATTCATTAAGAATCCGCGGGATGACTGGTGTGATGTTATATGAATACAACATAAACTTCTTTATCAAGTTGTTTGTTATTATAATTTGTATGTGTGTACCAAAGTGCTATGCATGCGAAGCAACAGTTCGACCAGGAGCTGCCTTTTCGCGCAATCGATAGCAATAATAGCGAAATCAAAATTACAATTTAATATAATAATATAAAAACTCTAATATGCACCACAATTCATAATATTAAGCTTCACTCAGCTCTCTCAAGCGCATTTGAAAAACTTAACAACAAATACAAATGTTGCGCAACATCACTGAGTATTTTCAGCAACATGTATTTGAGTACTGGCATTTCCAGTGCAACAATTCCAGCTGGTATATAAATATGGTAGGCAGTGTATGTGTGCATTTCTTAGTTCATTTATTCAGACTATATACATACTATATATGTATGTACATATGTATATACAAATGCATAAAGGAATTGTTCTTGAATTTAAAATATACATGTTTTTACATAAGTTTGAGGATGTGAACAAAACAAAAATAATTTTTTGTTTAATTGAAAAGTTGCCACCAAACGCGCATTTCTATTACTAATAATAAGGTATAAAAATAGTATTTATCACTTAATTATGTAAGCAAATATTATTATAAAGTTTATCGTCCCGAATATATGTATGTGTGTATATAAATTTCAAAGCTAAATTTCTCCATTAATATGAAAACTGTGTAGAATTTAATTTTTTCAAAGCATTAATTTAAGAAACTATGTACACGTATATGCTTACATAAGCGTTTTAAATTTTTACTTGTAGCAACGTTATGTAACATAAATGGTCTCTGGTGTTTTGCACTTAAATATTTCTTATAGGGCATGCTCATCGCTCAATCAACAGATCTCGGCAACATTACTTATTTGCCGCGCAACATTAACACCTCACTAAACCACCACCAACGCTTCTCCAGTAATCGGCAATACTGAAAAATATTTACTCGCACTCTTCCAACTAGAATTCATTTCCTCGGCAATTCATCATCTTTTCGAGAGATCGGCAACACTCGTGTTTCGTGCCATTGTGTTTTTCAACTACATATATATTTGTTTGTAGTCATGTGTTGCTCTTGTTTGTTTTGCTTTCGGCCGTTGCCATGTTGCCGACTTCGAAGTAGTAGCGCGCGCCATTGGCAACATGGGAAATAGATTTATTGGAATGTATATGAGCTGAGCTCATTGTAGATTCATTGTTAGCATGATGGTTTAGTTGTTGTTGTGTAAACACATAAAATAGACGTACGTTTAGAAGAGTGGTAGGCAGGCAGAAAGTAGTAAACAGCCATCGGCAAGACAGCTGGAATAAGCGTCGAAGCAGCTAAACTGTTAAACAGTGAATGGCAGCCCGTAGTAGTCCGCGTGAGTTTTCAGAATTTTGTTGTGTTTTTGCGTGGTTTGCCGGGAGTTCTATTCTTGCGTTCGCTGCTGCCGCGTAAAATATGCGCTCGTTTTTCGTTTGACAACGTATTTTGCGAGTAAATTCTATATGATTTATAATTATTCATATGAGAATTGCATTACAAAATTATTATTCTTTAAAATAATAAAAATGTTTTTGATGCGAATTTAAGTGCGTACGTACAATGTCAGCTTAGTGAAATAACAAAGCTTAGTAGTAATTTTGATAAAGCAAGGATATAAAGGCGAAAATGACGTGGAAAATTCGCAGAAAATTTCATTTGGCGTGACATTTGTATCAACGTGCTGCTTACAGTGAGATGTGGACCATTTTGTCTTGCTTTATTCAACAAACCAAACTTTTTACTTATTTATTTGCTTGCGTATTTGCTATACAAAGCTTTATGCTGTTTTTGTAGTGTCGTAGGAAAACAATGAAAAATTACAGCAACGTTCGTAACGATAATTTAATTTAAAAACAAATCAGATATGTGAAATGCAAATATAAATTATATGTACATACATGTTATATTATCAAGTGGCAATTAAGAAATAAAAATAAAATTAAATCTTTAGTAAATCGTTTCTAAAGACACCATATGAGCAACAATCCATATAAACGAAAATATTAAGTTCAAAAATACCATTCTCATCTACATTTTGTGTAAGCATGTTAAAAGCAAATTAAAGGCTTTCGTGTGGTGTTATTGGGCGCTGCTGTATCCGTGAATCTTATCAATTGAATAGCATTGAACTTTTCATCTTCGTCATTGCTCTAAAATAATAAAAGGGCATACATGTCGCACTCCCGATTCGACTGCTGCCAAAAGTAATTAAACGCAATAAACAATATCAGCGAAACGTAATCAGTACCTTTCTAACGCTACTCATAAGCGATTCTGAAAACAACGCGTGTTCAAAAACAAAAAATAAAAGCGAGTGTTATGTCGTTTCTATTTCAGTTGTGACTGCGGAAATTATTGTCGCACTTGTATAATTCGAAAAAAATGTTAATCAAAATGTGTGTATCCAAGTCCACAACAAATCTTCTGATTTGATAATAACTAAAGTAAAAGCCTTTTTAAATGAGAAACGGACAGCTATAAAACCATCATCTTCGTATATGGGTAAAAAAAAAAAACTCATGCGTCATCCACATAAAAATTTCGAATATTTGTGTTTGCCTCATAGCCTTGTGCTTGCGTTCCCCTGGTACTCCATCTTCCTGCACAAAGAAATTGCTATCGCCTCACTTTTAATTTTGGTGGAAATTATTATTATTTTCTACTATTTACTCAACTCACTCAATAAATTCAAAAGAACTAAGTTTTTAAAAAGGAAATCATACAATGCGAGTTTTAAAGTCCACTTAACCTAATCCAAAGAAAACCACTAATATTAATCGTAATTGTCGTACAACCGTGCTTGTAAATAGTAATTTAAAGGAATTGTGATATTGATATAAGTGTAAAAACTGCGATTATCTTTATTTACGAAGTTTGTTAGAATTAAGTTCGAATCAACCTATATGATATATTCTAAAATTACAATCATAATCATTCGAATAAGAAGAATAATATTTAAATTGGGCAAAACGTTTCCGAATTTGTAACTAAGGTGAGTTTGATTGCGAACAAATTCTTACTTATAAATATCGACTTTATCTCTCTAACCAACATTTTTTTCTTTTTTCCTGATTTATTTTTTTTTGTTAGTAACTAATTATAGGTTGCTGAATAATTTTTTAAAGAAAGTTCTTTGTTTTTTACCATTTCCTAGGATTTTTCCATATACAGAATATCCCTTGGCATCTGCTGAGCGCTTTTACATTCTCTGTATCTAATCAGCTGCATCTATTTTGATTAAACTAATTCATAGCTGATGTTGATCGAAGTAGTTAGTTATAAAAATTTATTAATTAAATCACAATTACAGCAATTTAACAATAATGCAGTCCATAAATATATCTCGATCAACCACAACGCTTGCAACGCACAGAAACAAATTAGTTATAATCACAGAGAGCGCTTGGCGCAAACTTTAAATACTCAACACAATTCAATAATCAAACAAGTAGTTTGTCATACTAACTTGTAAGCGTGTATGTATTTACATATATGTAGAATTATTCATAAATACACGACACGCATATAAATAATACTGTGTAAAAATTGTCTGAACAATAAAAACTTTAGCACGTCTGCCAGCAATAACGAATTGGACAACGGTGCTGTATACATCAGTTGTGAAAAAATTAAAATACAATAATTTCCATATGCAAATAATTGAAAGCTTCCAAAGAGCAGCCAGTACATGTCGACCCGAACATATGAAATAATTAGCGTAAAACCGATTTATATTAATCACTACAACTATACCGACATAAACGGCAGTAGTAACCATGGTCACAATAACAATAAAAACATTCAATGAAATATATCCTACTTTCAACACCAAAAAGCATCTACATGCCATGTCAATTGCAAATTATGGTTGCTGGTTAAATAAAATAGCATATATTTTTACAAGCCAGGTAACGCGCTCATACTTCATGCAATAAATCATCTTACTCATAATGTTCCCATATTTATACCTTACACAGGATATTTTAAGTTTGCCACGAAGTTTTTACCACGGAGAAAAAAATGTCGAAGACTCTATAAAATATATACCATATATAATATATATAAATGGTTAGCGTAACGAGCTCAGTCGATTTAGCCCTCAGTTTTTGAGATATTGATCTCAAATTTTGCAAACGTATTTTTCTGCAGAAGAAGCTATTCATTGTTGGAACCGTCGATATTGGAACACTATAGCACGTAGCTGCCATTCTAATCTTTAAAACTCTAGTCGAAAACTTTTTTATTTGACAAGGTGTCATTGGCACCGAAATTGGCACAGATCATTGTTCAAGACTACGCTACAAAATTGTTCAGATCGGACCACTATATCACGAAACTAATATACAAACTGATCTTCTTCAGATCTTCTCAAATATATTTTCTCCTTTGGTCCGTTACGTTTTCAAACTTACTTGTACCTTTAGTTGCTATGAGAAATGCATCTGTGAAGGTTATTATAGCTTCGATACGGCCGAAGTTAATGATGTTTCTTGTTGTATTTTCATTAATTTGTTATTATTGGTTTTGAATACATTGAATATTTATTACTTGTTTGGTAATTTATATATGTGCATACATACCATATACACCGTACAATATTATATTAGTTCTTTTAAATGAAGAAAGTTGAATGATTTTATGTTAATATTAACTAAATTTTTCAGCATTGGGATAGGTCGTGGAGCGAATCTAATAAGCGAATATCTAACATTTAATTGGTATACGAAATCAATACATTTCAAGCAAGATGTGAAGATATACATATACTATGTATGTATATATTACTTCGCTTAAAATACCTTTTATACATAGTAGTCGTCTACTGTTTGCGATTGTTGTTATTGTTACGGCGGGCTTCATAGTTGTTCGGTAGGTTGGCTACTGCCTCAATGACTTACTCACCGAACTCGTTCATAAAACCTATGAATAAATTTCCATATAATATTTTCGAGCAATTATTTTCTTTTCAATTTTACGCCCGACTAAATGGATCTACTCAAAGATCTTTCTAGCTTTTTCCCTATTCGACATAGCTTTGTTTCAATTTACAAACCCGCATATGCACCTACATTACATTAATTTCGTTGGAGATACCCAGCAGATAACTTGTATGCTCCTACTAGTAAGTTCAAATACTTAGCGGACTTTTTTTTTCCATAAAAGCAAGTTACATTTTTCCGTATTGATGTCCTACAAGATTCCAATAGCCAGTTTTCAATAGGAAATTTGAAAGTAACTAGACTAATAACAAAATTAAACAAGTAAGAAAGGGCTAAGTTCGGATGTAACCGAACATTTTATACTCTCGCAAAGTCAAATGGTATACTCGTTTGAGATTTCTTTGTGGATTGACTGATATTTTCGGTAGAAGGTCCACTATAGGGTCCACATATTTAGTACTTAGGGGCTTGAACAATTTTGGTTCGATTTAAACAATTTTTAGTCACAAGGTGGCATACTTTAAACGTATTATTCATGCAAAGTTTTACCCCGATACAATCATTGTTGCTTGATTTGCATACTGTAAAGTGAAAGAATCAAATAGAGTTTAAAATAGTGTTATATGGGAAATAGGCGTGGTTGTAATCCGATTTCGCCCATTTTCGCACTATAAAATCGAGATATAAGAAGAATGTTATGTATCGAACTTGGTCTAAATTGGTTAAGTAGATCTCAAGATATGGGTTTTCACCTAAAAGTGGGCTGTGCCACGCCCACTGTCTAATTTTGAAAGCGGTTCCTATAAAGTCATCTCATACCATCACAGAGATAAAATTTAATGCCTCTGGCGTGTTTAGTGCCTGATTTATCGCGCTTTTAGTAGTTTTTAACAGTACCGTTACATGGGGAGTGGGCGGAGTTGCCACCCGATTTCAACTATTTTCACACTGTAGGTACAGGTTCTGAAAGCTTTTGCTTCCAGTGAATTTTGTTATTATAGCATTAGCGCTTTAGGAGATCAGAATATTAAACCTATTAGGGGCGGGACCACGCCCACTTTTAAAAAAAAATTTAACTGCAGATGCTCCTCCCTAATGTGATCCTGTGTACCAAATAACAGTTTTGTATCTTATTGCGGAGTTTAGTTATGGCAATTTATTTGTTTTTGATTAATGGCGTTTTGTGGGCGTGGCAGTAGTCCGATTACGCCCATCTGCAATACCAACCGTCTCACGGTACCAAGAAACATGTCTACCAAGTTTGATAAAGATATCTCAATTTTTACTCATGTTAGAGCTTGCACGGACGGACGGACGGACAGACAGTCACCCGGATTTCAACTCGTCTCTTCATCCTGATCATTTATATATATATATATAACCCTACATCTGACTCGATTAGTTTTAGGTGATACAAGCAACCGTTAGGTGAACAAAACTATTATACTTTGTAGCAACAGGTTGCGAGAGTATAAAAAATAAAACATACATATCTATATACTTGTATTATCTAATATTATATATGTTATTATATAAGAAATCGTTTTATAGATGGTGTACGAGTATATCGCCTCTTCTTTTATTATATATGTATGTACCATTCTAGTATTTTTTAATATTGCGACTCTAGTAGTAATCTTTTATTTTTCTGCTATTGCGATATTTTATTGCACAGTACGAAGTTTATAAATATGTATTTCAGTGTGCGCATATGCGAACGTGTGTAGCTTTGCTCGGCAGAGTCAGCTCAGCAATTCCGGACCATCCAAAATCCACAGATTCGAAATAAGCTGCACATGTACATACTACCTGTCTTTTCTATTAAGGGCGATTTGGCAGGTGAGAAGATTTTAGTGTTTTCTACGACATTTTGACTATCTGACTGACACTGTTCCTGCATATCGCTCGCACTTGCAACAGCAAAGGTCTCAGAACGTTTTTTTCGCTTAACGAATTATAGTCCACTAGTCTGTGCATTTCGTCGACAGATATCAGAAACTTATGGGTAAGTGTGCCCTCATTGGATTTCAGTTTCAATTTTATGTATTTCGCAACATTGCATTCCTGTGGTTGTTATTTTACATGCGTTTTTCCTTGTTGTCTACACACTTTGTGAAGTTCGTATCGAGTAACATGGCCAACATGGCAAATGCAGCACACCTTTTGTTGTATAACACGCTACAACCACTTTGTTAGCTCATTTCTGCCCAGTGGTCTCATACCACATCCCTGCAGGAAATCCTGAGATGATCAGGCAAACGTCTGAAATAGTCCAGGAACTATAGAAAACTCAACTAATTCCTACAAATTCGTGATAGATTAAAGATATCCAGATTTATTGTCAACACTTCTTCGTAGGCAGTGCGTGCATAGGAAATATGAATCATATATGTATGAACAAAAGTTATTATATTTGAAAAAGAGTAATATTGCCATCTGAAATATCTTAAGTAATTTGAATGTATTACCCATTTGTGCTATTCAAAATTATTAGATACATTTTATGCTTCCACGCTTTTCGTTATATAAGTAATGTTACACCTTATATCATAGTTCCTCTAGGATTTTGCTATGTATAAATCTTGGCATCTGACTATATAAATAAAATGAAGATATGCTAGGCCGCATCAAATCAATCAAATGAGTAAAATTATGATTTTTATACTACTCAGAACCCTTTTCGACATACATATGTAAATAGATCCTTTCTTTTAATCCCTCCTCTATATTGTGAAAGCAAACGTACACAATCTCGTATCAAAGTGAAAACTCTATTTCAATGTGCATATCTCTTCTGTTGTAAGTATTACGAAATATGTTAAGTGAACAAGCGATAGTATGATTAATACTAATACTTGTCGTGTATGCTCCACACACTTACATGGTTCTGAGATGTGTAGAAATATATTTCATCGCCGCAAATGAATTTGTTGCTGTCACCTGCTGCGTCTGATAGCGAACAAACAAACAAGTAGCGAACGCGGCAACAATAATCGCACTAATTGCAGCAACACGATCTCTAGAAAATGCAGATGACAGTTCTCCAATCCAC